CAGCTTCCGCAAAAACACTTGCAAGATCGAGGGCTGAGGCACTCTGCTTCTCAGAGGTTCTCTGGCACAGAGCCAGAGACTCGAAGAGGTACATCTCCGGCCGCTCATGATGCGTGTAATTGCCTTTCAAATACTTGCAGGATGCAAGGCAGGTTGCAAGGTCCTCATCATCGCTGATTTCATCTGCATTGATGCCCTCGGCTCGTTGTGAAAGTAAGAACCGAGCACAACTCATTACCCCATCTCCAGCACACAGAGACACAGTTAACAGATTCATCTCACAGTCAGGCATGTCTCCATATAGTGCAACAGCCCGAAAATAGCCTGCACACACAGGCTCTTCGTGAAGCCATCCACCAGCCTCACCATGAATATGGGCACATTATCAATGTGAGGCTGTCCTCAGGTTCACCATGATGGCCAACAACATGCAGTGAATGCCACGGAATGAGTTTACAGCACTTACTGCTTTGGACATCACAGACTGTCCTGCATTCACCTCAGTTTCCACAGGAAAGCGCACCTCGAGCGGCTCTCTGTAAGCCTGGAAGCCCCGGTGCAAGATCGATGTAAAGTGGATGCGCAATGTGCACATATCCGGGAATTTCCCATGCTCACCTTGGCGCACCACAGCATGCAGAAGCAAAAACATCCTGAGAGTCCTGTTCCATGCCACATCAAGACATCGTCTCCTCATCTATTGGATTTGACTCTGAATGTGATGAATCTCAATACAAGACACCATACTTGCATCTTCGGGAGTAGTCAATCTGCCATGGGTTCATCCAGAAGTCGTGGAGGCTGTCTTTGGGAATATGATTGATGGCACGGTGGGGTTGGACTTTAGCAGCCACAGCCGGGATGGAGAGGGTGGTCAGCATCACCTCCAATGACACACACACACACACACGCGCACACACACACACACACACACCCCCCCCCCCACCCACCCACACACACACACACACAGACACACAGACACACACACAGAGACACACACAGAGACACACACAGAGACACACACACAGAGACACACACACAGACACACACACACAGACACACACACACACA